TGAGAGGGGACCTGATCCAGGTCTATAAATACCTAAGGTGTGGGGGCCATAGTGGTGAGGCCAGTCTCTTTTCAGTGGTACGTGGAGACAGGACAAGGGGAAATGAACATAAGGTGCAGCATAGGAAGTTCCACACAAATGTGCACAAGAATTTATTTACAGTGAGGTGACGGAGCACTGGAACAGGCTGCCCAGGGAGGTCCTTATTCAAGCCTCGCCTGGATGCCTACCTGTGCGACCTGCTGTAAGGAACCTGCTTTGGCAGGGGGGTTGGTCTTGATGATCTCTAGAGGTCCCTTCCAACCCCTACAATTCTGTGATTCTGCTACAAATATTTACATAAACCCTCTGTTGAGTGGTCAAGAACTGACCACAAGTTTCTCAGCAAGTTTGCTGGTGGTACAAAACTGAGAGGAATAGCTGACACACCGAGAGGCTGTGCTGCCATTCGGTGAGACCTGGACAGGCCGGAGAATTGGGGAGAGAGGAAATTGATGAGGTTCAACAAAAGCAGGTATAGAGTCTTGTGCCTGTGGAGGAATAACCACATGCATTAATACACATCAGGGGGTGACCTGCTGAAGAGGACCTCTGCAGGGAAGGACCTGGGTGTCCCAGTGGACAGCAGTTTGGAGCAGGTCACGGGAGGTGGTCTCCCCCGCTACTCTGCCCTGGGGAGGCCACATCTGGAGTACTGTGTCCAATTCTGGGCTTCCCAATTCAAAAAAGACAGCGATCTCCTAGGAGTCAACCTGGGGATGACAAAGATTATGAGGGGCATCCCAATTATTAGGAAAGGCTGAGATAATGTGTCTGTTCAGCCTTGAGAAGAAAAGACTAAGAGGGGATCTGATCAATGTTTATAAATATTTTAAGTTCAGGTGGCAGTCAGACAAGGCCAGATTCTTTTCAGTGGTTTGTAGTGACAGGACAAGGAACAATAGCCAATAACTGGAACATACAAAGTTTCACACAAATATGCAGAAGAACATTTTTTACAGTAAGGGTGACCATGCACTGGAACAGACTGCCAAGAGAGGTTGTGGAGTCTTCTTCTTTGGAGATGTTGAAGATATGTCTGGACAATCCTACTTGTGCAACCTTGCTTTAGCAGGGGGGTTGGATTCAATGATCTCTTGTGGTCCCTTTCAATCCCTGGGATTTTGTTATTCTTTGATTCATAATTGTGAATTGTGAAAATCATTTAACAAAGTGAGCTTTTCCTGAAGGAATCGACACTGTCAGAAATGTTTATTTTGTGCAATGGATATCAGTGGGTCTGGGATCCTTTCACATATTACATCTGCTAAGGAATCTACTGTTTGGTTAATAACTGTGATAAATGTTATAAATAATATTGTTGACCTGTAAGAATCAATACCTTGATTTCCACAAATTAAGAAAGGTACTGTGTATTAACAAGAAAGCTACACCATTGGACACTGTGCTACACAGAAACTCAGGTTACTCCTTGGATAAGCAGTTCTAACTTGTTACATAATTTCAGATTTGGAAATTTTTATAATATGTATATGACTCTTACATGCAGTGCAATGGAAAGAGCAAATTTAAAAAGCTTTTCCATGCTTCTAAGCTGGGAAAATTTACAGTGTTCACCAACCTTTGTGCTAGTGAAAAAACCTCCTTTCCCACTAGATGTGGGATGTCTGCAGCTGAAGTTAACCAGTAGGTAGCAAAACTTAAAATGTTTCTTTGTACACTATGTGCTCCCTTCTCATCTGACAATGTTAAAACTTACACCATACTCATATTGGTCTTTAATTATTGCAATTATGCCACTTAAAAGATACATTGTGCTTTATAAAGATTGCTGAAAACAAATTATTTTTAAAAAATGTTTACGTGTACAACCAGTAAAATGGGAGGCACATACAGAAAGGTGTGTGTCTGTCCCCAGACACAGAAGGAGAAGGAAAGCAGAAAGGAAACACAGATATTCCAGGAAAGGGAACACAGAACTGCAACAACTGATATGATATTTAAAACTCAGAAACAGCTCTAAGCCTTGTATTTGGGGATGAGAAGTACTGCTGTATGGAGTGTTGCTGTAGTCAGATCAGCCCTAGCAAAGGCGCATGTAACAGTGAGAAGGACAAAATACCTTCTTTCAGCATATATTACTTTTTCTTGAAGACTAAATCACCCAAACACACATGGTGGCATCATATTTCCAAAACAGGATTATAACCACATTCCTCCATCATCTTATTCTGTGCAACAAACTAAGGACAGTGTAGTCAGATAGGCATACCACAGCCCACAAGATGTGTGATCAGGAATCATATACCTTCCCAAAATGATACAGAAGATCTAGTGATAAGTTTCTGACTTTGTGTATTTTCCAATTAATCACAAATGGGAAGAGTTTACCATAGAAAACAGTGAGCCAATGTGTTAAATGCTTTCCAACTTTACCCTAAGGGATAGGACCGTAATCTATAAATCCCAAGATTTAGATCAGCATGCAGTGTAGTAGTGAGAACTTACTGTTCTCATTGCCTCCCCTACTTTTCATCTGTACACTTCTATCAAGTGAGTTGAATTACATTTCAGTACAAGAAATTAAAAAAGGAGGTAACAAAAAATATATATAAAAAAAGAAGAGACTGAAGCAGTAGCACTGAATAGTGTTAAAAATAAATAATGACTTTTCACCTCATAATATTCCATTCCACATTTTTTTGTATGAAGCCAGCTTTTCCAATTCTTTTTTTTTTTTTTTTGTGAAACATACTCTACCAATAAAAATCATTATCTGAAGAAAATGACATTTCCTATTCCTAAAAAAAAAAAAAAAAATCTATCTAAAGCTCTAACAAATACATCTCTAAATAAGAAGACCATCATTGATAACAGAATTAGCCTAAATGACTGTCTAATTTACAGATAATTATTTCAGGCTAATTTCATTGAGTTCCTGAGGTTCTTCCTCACTTTGTGGTGACTACAGAGGAAATCGAACATTCATAATATATGATCTGACAAAAAAAACAAGTAAACCACTTTATTTAAACATCTCTATTTGTCATCAGCCCTACAGCAGTAATGGTATTCTGCCCACTGCTTTAATAATGCATACATTGATCAGCTTATCGCAGACCTCCACTACCTCTTCATGGGTGTCTAAAAATTTCTTTGGTTGCAGAAACACAGATTGTTTAAATTGCAAGATGAAAATACAATGAAAAAACAGAGTTGTTTTAGTAAAACTAGTACTAAACTCCGTTATCAGAAAAGCAGATGATTTTGTTTTTAATGATTTTTAAGGAGAAAAAGTATAGTTAAATGAATTCAAAATCAATCGGAATGCTTTTTAAAAAATGGGCTTGGACTGCCATTTCAAAAAGTAGGTATCAACTGTGCCACCAGAACAGGCTAGTGTGTTCAGGCAGGATTCACATTCCCCAGGCACATTTACTATAGATTCCATGCAAAAGAGTTTGGAGAGAACAGTTAGTAATAAACTTCTGTATTCATTAATGCTATTTATTCTGCTAATACAATTCCCACGCAAGAGATGTGGCAAGTCTAAATAGACTGACAGTAAAAGCAGGCTGCCTGTGGGATGCCTAAATTGCAATCCAGGAAACAGAGATTATCAGAGTATGTACATAGTTATTAACATGATTTTGTTAAAACACTGTCATGACTCTTCACCAAACAAAGAAAACTGCAAGATGAGGAAACAATACTTTGATGAAAAGGAGTGTTTTTGATCACTGATTTAAAATAAATGCAGAACAAGCAAACAAACAATAAAACCCCTGTACAGTCTTTGGTGTGACACATCTTTCTTCAAATGCAAAAAAAAGCATCAAAATAATTCATATACATGTAAATTCAAACAAAAAGCAGTTATGTGGGAGTACTGAGGATAAAATCCAAGGTGCCTTGCCTAAAAATTACCTCACATTTATAATGCAGCAATGAAACTGACAGTATATACGTCTGAGAGTTCAAGCTCTCATCTGGCATATTTTCAAGCATTTGAAATTTTCATTTGAATTTAATCCTACTTGTAAAATTTTTAATGCCAATCTTGGCAACTGGGAGCATTCAAATGATTTTTTCTCTCTCCTATGAATATCTGAGGTATTTCAGATGGTCTTCTAAAAGATAGAGGTTAAATAATAAGATTTTTTTTTTTTTTAAAGTAACATTCCTAAAGAAAAAAAAAATCAGCTTGTAATAAGCCACACTGCTGAGGCTTTTTCTTCTCTCCAATGAACAAATTACCTGGGTTCACTTCTGGTTTTAAGTGGCAAAAACAATTTTGCACAGAAAGAAAGACATTTTGTTGACACAAGAAGACCAAAGCTACAGGTCTGGATCATTTAGAAGGTTGGTCAAAACAGGTAGAAGCTTAGATTGTTTACTGAAGAGTCATTTCCAGAACGGACACTGATGACAACAACATGAGTAAATTCTCTGACTCAAGTCTGAAATTCAACTACTCTCTACTTTTATGCTCTGAGAGCTCAGTTTTTTTTAGCAAGGGCATATAGCTCTTGAAAAATCAGCTTTTCTGTGCTCCAGTTTTATGCTAGAGACCTTTACATTTGAGGTGTGAACCTTCCTAACAGTATTTTTCTGATGTTCAGAAATGGACTAGATGTTCGCTCAGGCACAGTCTTTGTACGTTTGCTTGTCTAAAAGAAAACTTTTAGAGTAACAGAAAGTCCATAGTGTCTAGTTTAAAAAAAAAAAGAAAAAAAAAAAAGAAGAGTATAAAAAGCCAAAGCTGCAAACACAGGGTTTCGTCAAAGACAATCTGAAGTCAGAAGAGTTCTGCACTGATTGTTTTTCCCTCCTTCCCTGTAAGAAATCTTTGAAGAGTAGACAGGGCGACCTAATTTCAAGGATTATATTTTGTTCTTTTTTTTTTTTTCCCCACAGGGAACCAGAGCACCTACAGCTAGAAAGGCCTCACATTAAACTACAGATACTACAGCACAGAAAAAGGAAAGATGTGATATTTTTAAAAGGAACTAAAATGTTCTAGCTTTGATAGAAAGAAGAAATGACTGAGACATCAGGACCAAAGATTTGCATCTGTATGTATCTGCATGTGGGAGAGAAGATAATCAAAAAGGGGAAGTGAGAAGGAGACCTAGTTGTAAAGTCACTTTGCAGCTATTTATAGTACCTTACTTTTATGTAACACTTCTTATCCCTAATAGTTTTAACCACTTATGTTGATTTGTGAGTGACAATCACTTAGTACATCACTGAATTCTTAACACCTTTGGAATAGCTTACAGAACAATATACAACATTAAAATGTTATGAGCAGTAACTTCACAAAATGAAAAATTTATTTTATTTCTCTTGGAGGAAAGGTAATGTTGTCAAGTACTCAAACATTATTCAGATAACAAAAGTTTTGCTGCAACAATTCTACAAAAATCCTTCTCGAAGTCTTGCTCTAACTCAAATGTGGCCTTTGGATAAAGGGTTTGAGTTAATGTAGAGTTAAAGCAACATCTATTTTATTTCTTACATCCTGAGAGTCTGTTTTTTTGTGGTTTTGAAACTGTCTCGGAAGCTGCTAGAGCCAGCTGGCTAGAACAGACCTCAGGTGTTTCAGAGAGGGAAAGGTAAAAAAGGAGAGTGGTAAATGGATATTTTAGCCTTACTGTTTTCATGATAACGCTTGAAGTCCCAAGAAGAGCTTTGTGAAAAATATCCATCCTATAGATTACCCCTTTAGAAGGAAAACCTAGAAAATGAGACAGTGTTGCCACTACTCTTCATCATTCAGCTGCTATGGAAGAAGCTTTATTTGCCTGCGCCAAAAGCCAAGCCTGGTTTTATTTAAGATTTGTGGACTTTTCACAAACCTGGATTGTCAGTAACTTAAAGCAGCAAGATACGTCGCGTGACCTTTCTAAACTCAATCTTAGTGTTTGCTCCCAAATGTGCCCTTTGGGATTAGGAAGGAAAATCTTTTAAAGAAGTATCTATAATACAGCTATCCGATGAAGGGAGAAAATACAGGCATTACAGATCTGGTTTCATTTTATAGAATTATTTTAGATTTTTCCATGCAGTAATAAAAACAGATTTAAAAACTTCCATAACAATATCTTATGTGGCAAGTTTCAAAAATGGCATTGTGAAATGCTCTTACATAGGTGCATAGCACATTTTGCAAAGATGATCACTGGGTTTGGAATACGTTTTCATCTCACAGTATCATATTGTCTGGAGATGGTATAGCAAATTATGTGCTGTTTACTTGAAACCAGACTGTAATTAGTGTGAGACAGCTGTGAGTTTGATTAAGCATAGGAATATACATATTTAAAGCATGAATCTCCCACTAGAAAAAAAAAAAAAAAGGAATCTTTGTATGAAGAGTTATTGAGCAGTACTGGGTTATTTAAGGGGTCATTTATCTGGTGAGTTTTCCAAAAATCCCACACAGTGTTGGATTTAAGTTCCTTTTTACCACGAAACCTAGTCTGGACCAGACTCCGTGTGATCTTCTGCCATTTCCTTTCCCTAAGAATTCTTGACAAAGTTAGTATGAGTAACAGTCAGTAACCACAACAGTTTCATGACGTACACAGTTGTGCATTACAACTGGTATCAGCTACAGTTTTCATTAATGTTCACCAAAAAACAAGCAAAACAAATAGGGTTTAAAAAATCACTCATGAAATTTAAATGTCTGATCCAGAAAAAAAATAAAATCAGAACTACTGATTTAATCTTCAAATAACATTGCTAAAGTCTTTTCTAGACATGAAACTAACTGCCTATGACAGTTCTATGAAAATATTGTCGGTTTTCAGAAAGCCAAGCAGCTGTAGCAAATACTCCTTTCTCCAACAGACTCATTTTCTAGCCTGTGTTTGAAAATTTTAGCTAGTGTTATGTAAAATTTCATTAAGTCTTAAATGTATTTCAAAAAGTATCTCACTTTTTCCAGCATGGACAGTGTAACCCAACAGCAAACTGCAAAACAAAATGCAACTAATGAAAGCTCATTTGAAAAAAACCATACCTTATGAACATCATTCTGCTTCTGCACAGTGGGAAGATCTCCACCAATGGGTGCTTGCTGTTTTAATTCATCCTCCTTCAATTGCAGCCATGCCAAAAGTTCCTGAAGAGAGAGATGTAAACGCTTCCACTGGTCTGTACTGGCTTCCAAATGAGATCTGAAACCATGTATTAAATATTAGATGCATTCAAAGTGAAAGTAAAAAAAAAAAAAGAAATACAAATTTATTCACTGATAAAGATTATAGTGTTTTGTTAACTAGACAACATTTAAATACCTTCATCAGCTTTGAATCAGACACTGGTATAATTTTGATTCCACAGCTGTGGCTCGAAAAAGCAAAAGAGTTATGTGGAATTGTCATTCTCACTAAACATGCACAAATACAATGCAGGACTACTAAGAGAGCAATTGTTTCATCACTCAGGACTGCTGGGTACTAACCAAAAGGTAGGGAGTACTTTTCAACTCAGAAAAGAGCAAGCATTTGTCTAAACCATTACACAAAACATTCAACCCCACACAAGAATCATGTGGCTGCTCACCTTTAAGATAAAAGAACCAATACCATCCCTTCCCCAAAAGGAAACTGTTACATAGGAACCTCCAATGCTGCACAAAAAGTCTGTGCCTCACAAAATGAGGTGTGACTGAAACTAACTGAATAACAGCAAACTTAAGGTATACTACTTTTTGTACAAACAACAGCTCCACCATAAGACAACCTTATAAACATTTTCTCTGAGTGTGCATAAATGCTCCTCTCTCTTAAGACTAGTTCTTGGCAACTACTTTTTGCTGGAAGAAAATATGTGGTAAATCTCTGTATTGACAAAATCTTCCATTTTGTTTATATCATTGATAATAAGAGTCTGTCCTGCTAAATTTATGAATATGCTGATGCTGTTTATTTGCTAATTGGGAAGAAATTCTTAATTCATTCCCACACAACTTAAGAATTCCTTTTAAAAACTAAAATGAAAAGCAGTATTATACGACGGTAAAACAATATGATACACTTTGCAAGGATTTTTGCAAGGATTATGTACTAAGACAGATTTTCTTTGTCTCATTTCTTTTCTAACTTTCAGCTTTGGTCTTACTGCTGAATGTTGCTGGAGGTGAGGGGCAGTGCTGCAATGCTGGGGCACGCTGGCCACTACATGGGGAGCTGTGGTAAATAACAGCCAGTGGGCCTTTGGAGGAGACACAGCTAAAGAGTAAAGTTTCTGAGTTAGTTAGCTCTAGCCTTCCATCTCATCTCACCTCAGCAAATGCAACCTTCCATCTCCTTCAGATTAGCACAGTAACTGGATGTGAATGCAAGGAAATGAACCTCGCTTTTCTTGACAACCACCATACACTTTACCTAGCTGAAATGCACTGGACTGTGAAAAGAACGCCCACCTAACCAAGGGACAGGATGACTGTTCTGTTCCAGCAGTTCAAAGCATCCACCAAAAAAGAAGAATCATGGGACTGGTGCCTGGGTAACATTTTATCTTTCTGCTCTTACACCTCCTTTGTGTAAGCACCAAAATAACTATGATGAAATCTATTCCACATTGTGTGATGGAAAGAAATAGCACAGAGCAGTCAGACTGAGAACAGCCCATTCATTCAGTTCGGTGGCGGGCAATATTTAAATTGAATGTCTCAGGAATTACAAATTGGTTCTTATTTTACTATTTTAGAAAGGAGTTCTGTTGCTTTGAATCTGTAATGTAACAAGCTAATGCCATACAACTAGAGTTAGTACGTCTGACAGTTAATGACAGCAATACATTGAACTGTAAAAACAGAAAGAAAGAAAATCCCAGGACACCCATATATTTAATGACTGCTATTTAGCCAATTTGATGTTGATTTTTTTTTTTTTCTCAAGCATCACTGCATTTTGGCAAATTCATGGGTAAAAGACATCTGAAGAAAAAAATCTGAAGGATTGTCTGTTTCTTTTGCTCCTCAAAAAAAAAAAAAAAAAAAAAAAGTGTCTCCTTCTTTAGTCACTAATATATTTTCAACCTCACATTCTTCATTTCTTTTTAATGATTGATGTTATGAAGATGGCTTCTGTCATTACACAGACTGACCTCCCTCAGGGCCCAAGCTGAAAGAAGCTAGTATTTCATAAATTACTTTGAAAAACACTTCTGCCTTTTGCTGCCCTCTGAACTACCACCAACACACAGCAAATGAGCAATTGAAAAAATGTCCAAGACTGAATGCAATGGAGTTGGGCCGTCTATTGTGAAAGACAAATTTCTGAAGACAATTTTTCTGGACAGTTTCTTTGGAAATTTTCAGCCCACTGAAGCCTATATATCCACGTCATGACTTGTAAAATTACCATTTATTTTATTTTTTCTTGCAAGGAGATTTTCTTCTTATAGAACTATTTGGAAATCTCCTTCTACCCCTGGATTTTATTTGGTAATTTTGATCACTTTTCAGACAAAAGAAAAAATCTTAAATAACATCTTCCCATTTGCAAGGCCATTCTTAGTTATGCACTGGAAATGGCAGCCTCAGAAATAAACCTTTTCATACATATAGGTTGTCTAATTACTTGACTCACTGATAAGTCATAACCAACCAATTTAGAAGGAGTACAGTTTGTGTTTAAACATGTTAATCTTCCCTTCTGTAACTACAAAACCTCATCATATGTCTCAAATCCTAATCCCCTACTATCATTTACACACACAAAAAAAACCCCTTAGTAATTCTTACAAAGTTAAATCAGCACAAATCATTTCAAAATAGAAACAGTGCTATCAGAAACCTGTTTATACCCTTTTACTGTCACGAGGCAGATGGAACGACTAACACACCAGCTGTAAGCTTTTGGTTAGAGTCATGTCCTACCTAATGTTTAGCGATTTCTTCCTAAGCTCACTCCATCTGAAGTTCATGTTATCCAGACGTCTCTGCAACAGGACAGCATCCTCTGAGCCTTCCAGGGATCTCAGGATTTTCTGCCCGTTTTCATCCAGGTTGTGGAAGATGTCAGTATGTGCATCAATTTCTGCCTGTAGATCCTAAAGAAGCAATAGAAAATAACATGTGATTTCATACCGAATCACAGAAACTACTACTTCTCAAGAGTGGAAAAATCCACAGTCCAACACAGAGTCAGTAAGATTATGATTATTCCTCTCGTGGCAATATTGTGTAGTAAACACCCTTTCACTTTTGCAGGAAGGATGTTTGACTTGAAAGAGGATCCTCTTTCCATATGAATCCTACTGAACAAATGTTAAAGAATGTTAAAAGTCTAGCTTTTGTCAGGCAAGAAAGCAAAGACATATTTACTGTGCTGACAAGGGAAAAACCAACCAACCAGTCAACCAACCAACCTACCCCTGGGGATCCCAGGTAAATCTGACCTTCACATGATAGGTTTTCCTGTGCAACATTTTCAGTTTGAGCTGAGGACTGCAGCACTGCTCCTGCTGCATGGCAGTTCCAGGAAATCTGCGCGTCTGCAGCAGCAGAGCTTTTAAAATGCCAAGTTCTCTTACATTCTGTTGACAGAACGCATTTCAGATCACAGACCTCAGCAGTCAATAGCAATAAACAACCACTTTGTGCTGCATCAAAACAGTCAGGGCCATGGCTGTAGGAGGGCCTGCAAACAGAAAGGACCCAGAATATGCAACCAGCAGCTCATGTTGAACAGCCAGCTCTTCTTATCACTTTATAACTACAGGCCAGCTCTACATTTTGAATTCATTTTTCCCCCTCATTTTCAGCAAGGCTGTTGCTGCCAAGAGAACATTCCTTTGAGAGCTGCCTGGTACCAGCATTCCTGCCTGCCCACGCTCTGAATGCAGCCTTTGTGCAGTGGCTATGCGGCTCACGGACGCTGTGTGCTGCAGCCCCACGAGGTCACAGACTCACTGAGAGAGAGTAATGGCAGAACCATGCTCTTCAAGCTGAACAACAATAATGATAACAATTTAAATATACACAAGCATGCACACACTCTATACGTAATCGCAGTTGCACAAAAATACTATTTTGTAACAAAGTGCACTGGTCAAGTGAATAAATCCCATTTTTACATGGGATGCTTGGGCACCAGGAGCTCTGGCTGTGGTTTCTTGCTGCCTGAAATGAGAGCATAGGGGGATGAAGTGGGAAAGGTGAAATGATTGACAGCCTTTGAGGGATGACCCAGAGCCAACTGGGTCACATCACAGACAGACCCCAAAGGAAACTTCTTCAAATTTGCTTTAGAAGAGTGACTTTGAAGGAGGTAAGCACACAACTTGCCTACTTGATGTGTTCCTAATTGAATTGGTTTGATTTGATATTTTAAGTGCAATCTTAGCAGCAGTGAATCGTAAGTAGATTGTCCTCGTTCACTTATTGCTGTTCCAAGCAACATTTGCTGTACTTTGCCGGATTCCTACTCTGTGCACAGCAACAACTAGCACCATACGTGGAACAATTTCAAGGAGGGTAAGGCATGTCTGTGGTACAGCACAGGAGTTCTCATCCAGCTATCTTACTTTATCTATGTTCATCCTGGCAGTAAAATAAGAATGAGTTTAGAATACACCAGAAGTAATTCAGCAGAACACAGTTGTTACTATAAATACTATATTTTTTGATTGATGTTAAACACTCATGGAAATGACGCAACTTTGCTAGCACTGGAACTAAATGTGACAACTGTAGTTTTAATCTAAGAATGGAAATTTCATCACGTGACCTGACACCTAGGCTGGGAATTGAAAGTAAGAGCTGGCAGAACTTTTTTTTTTCCCCCTTTCTCTCTCTCTCTCTCTCTCTCTCTTTTTTTCAAATTGGTAGAGGGATACTTGTAACATAGCTATAAACTCGGGAAATGCAGACTGAGCCCTCAAAAGAAAGACCAAGGATTCATATAGTCTTCAGAATTGGCAAAAATCCCATATTTTGCTAACAATCAGGAGGTATTTAAACATGCAGGGGACTATAGAAAAACAGTTGAGAGTTGCACAGTTGATAAATTTATATTTATATAAACACACATATATTCCTACTCTCAATGAATATATAAAGGTTTATGCAGAGTCTTAGATTATAAAGGCAAACAATTTTCCAGAATTATTCCTGTTTCAATTTAAACATATGTTTCAGAGAAGCAATCTATTCTCATTTTTAAAGATGTTATTACTAAGGTACATAAACATGTATGTTATTCCAGATGTGAATGCCCTCACTTGAAAATTTGTCTTTATTTCAATTCTGAATGTCAACAGATTCAGATTCCAACTTCTATATTTCATTTGTTTGCTAGAGAATACTCTTTTACTAAATTTCATTCCTTTCATGTACGCATTTAGATATGTTAAGTCAGTCTTGAGGTTAAGCACCACAAAACAGGTAAATAGCCACAACAATATACAGGAAAGAATAAAGTTCACAGTAAAAAAGTTCGCTTTTAATATTTGCATACTTCTAAGGTCCTTCCATATTTCAAAACAGATAAATCGACTGCCAAATTAAAGAATCATCATATGTGGTGCCTATCATGTGTGGTACCCGTTGCACAGAATCACAGAATCAGAGTGACTTAGGTTGGAAGAGACCTTAAAGATCACCAAATTCCAAACCCCCTGCCATGGGCATGGTTACCAACTGCTAGAAAATCCTTAGTCTGTAGGGTTGCAATGGAAACAAGTTGCCTCTTCCTCAGCAAGGGCAACATGAAATATGTCCAATAACTATTTACAGTTAGAAATTGTCCAATCTATGCCTCCTTCGTACTTTATCATACATATGCTACTTTTTAACTCAAAATTAATACACTTCCACACTTTTCCTGCCTTTAGAAAAACTCTTTAATAGACTAGATACTGCATGCTTTTTTCCTCACACATAGATATTTCTCAAAAGGAAATCAAGTTGTATCCTTCTTCTTTCAGAATACTACTTAATAACAAAACCAAACTGGACAGTTAGCTAAGTATGTGAGGTCCTCTTATCAGAAGATCACTATTCAAGATCTTAGTCCAAACTATCTGTCTAACCTGCACATTATCTTATAATCCAAAACATAGTTTATCCCAGCTGTCTGGGAAACATGCTCAGAGAGTAACAAGACAACGGAGACATTCACTCTGTTTTGGTTTCTGCATTTCAGATCTTTTCTTCATGACACCTGGTCCCTAGATAAGCACAGTGCAAGTAAGAAAAATATCTATAGATCTTTTATTTGTTTTCTGAAATAAGTAATTTCTGTGTTTGAAAAAATAGAGGTTAAAGATAAATATGAACTAGATCCTTTTTCTTGACAAGAATAAAGCAGGAGTATTTCATCTTATAAGATGCTATTTATTTGCAAAAGTATACTGTCATTTACACATCATACCAAGAAGCATAGATTATAGACTATAGAGTATTTACTGCATTTTATCCTTTCCATTGCATTCAAACACACATAGGAAATGCAAAGGACCAAAATCAATCCTGCTATATTTCTGCTGAGATACCGCTGGACTTAAATTTCTTTATACACTGTTTTTGTTGAAGTGGTTACTACTGGAGCTATGTAGAAATACGTTCCCATAAAAATAGTAAGTAGCAAAACAAAATGCAACCAACAAGAACAACAAAAAGACACTAAGTAACTCATTGATGAGTACACATTATTAAGCTAAATAAAAAAAAAGCTTTTTTTCAAACCTCCACATCCACCTTTATTTTTTTTTTTAATGCTCACTCCTTGGATTGAGCTCAACTGGTTAGAAGGAACTGCCCACGCATCAAAGGATATGCCTAAGAGTTGCAGAGTGAAATTTTCCTTTTATTAAGATGAATGATAGAGTTAGATGATAAAGTGTACCGTAAGATTTGCTCATAGTAACCTTGCTGATCAGATATTACAGCCTTACACACATTTAAAAATCTCTGTTCACCTTCTTGTAAGGCATAGAAAATATCTGGTGCTCCTATTTAACATTTCTATTCATAATCTATCTAGTAGTTCTATTAGTAATCTATTTACCATTCCTCTGTAGAGAATTCAGTTTTATATCAAAGGTCAGAAGATGTTTTCATAAATGGCAAAGTGACCGTCTTAAATCGTGTACATTGAAACTATTAACTCATAAGACAATCAGCAACATAAGACTGACAATACCTATGCTAATTCCACATAGCAGAGATATTCCTTAACGAATTCAGAAAGATTGGGGATATTTTATCAGGAATAATTAGCAGATCGGTGTTAAAAACCTCTGTAGCTGACATGCGGTATACTGGCAAAATACATGAAGGACGTGGCACATAATTATGCCATTACTATGGCACAACATCAGAAATGAGTTGATAGGCTGAAAGTAAAATGAAGTTCTAGAAAGAAGGAATTAGTTACACTGGTTGGACTATACAAGAGTCAGACTAAGACATGGAAATTAATGCAGCACAGCTGACAAAACATTTATCTTTATACAAGGTAGAAACAAAATTAATTATGTAATAAAGAAATTAAAGCTCTTAAATCCTCCTCTACAGACTCAGCTCTGTCCTTGGAATTGTGCTTTTCATTTCCAATGAATCATTTTATATTTTCTAGTTACCATACATGGGATTAATTGAGTAAGGCGGCTCAGAAAATTAAAGACAGTACCATCTGATTAAAGGAAATCAGCACAGGGGGAAAAACTTGTCTCTATTGTTAGTAATTGGAAAAAAAAAACACAGAACAGTCAGTCTGCATAATTACGTACATGAACTCAAAGCATCAGCTATTCAGTCCTCTGTGGCTATGCATTACTCAGAATTACTATACTGCATAGTACTAAGGTTCTATCATACTAGCACTGAAAGAGTGAGAAAGTTACTGAAAATGGATTGAAAATTCTAGGTCCATATAATTCTTCCCACAGAAGGGGCAGTAAAGCATTCAAACAGGCTATCCAGGGAGGTGGAAGAGTCACCACCCCCAGAGGTATTTAAGAAGTGTATGGTTGTGGCACTGAGGGACATGGTGTAGCAATGGACTTGTAGAGTTGATGGCTGGACTTGATCTTAAGGCCCTTTTCAA